TATAGTTATAGTTTAGTTTTAGGACTTTTTATAATTTGTATCTATATATCATTTTGATATTTCTCCGAATAAATAATGGGTAAGATCACTCAAGATAAAAAAAAAAAAAAAGAAGTACGTATTTCAAAAAAATAATTATCTTTTTCTAAAGAATCTTTAATATTATTACTATACTCCTCAATTCAATTTTCAATTATTGCTTCATAAACTTCAGAATCAGAAACAAAATCATTTACTGTTTTTTGATATTCATAGTTTGGATTTGTTTCACGTAATTTAAATACTTGTTCAGAGTTAAAATTGATTAGAATATTTATTTTCTAATAAAATAAAAAAAATACATATAAAGAAAAAAAAATTAATTTCCAATAAATTTTACTTTATATTCCGGATTTGATTTAGAAAAAATAATACAAGCTAATTCTTCAGGATGACCTCTAATTTTTTCAACCATTTCCTTATTTTCTGATGTAATTGAAATACTACCAGAAATACAACCATAAGTAATTTCATCATCACTAGTATCAAAATATAATAAAAAAACCTCAATTTTTTTTCCAGTTTTAACAGAACCTTTTATACTAGAAACATGTTGATTTTTTAATTCATTTTTTTTAGTTATTTTCATGATTTTAAACTTAGTCTTATTTTCAGATGTCTCATAATCTTCTCTCCAAAGATCAATTACATCAGAATAATTTTCTTTTTCATCAGTAAAAAAATTTGTAGTAATTTTGTAATTGAAATCAATTTGGCTACTTTTTAACTATCGATCGATTTCATTTCTTACATTTTTATTACCTTCAATTACAACTGGCATAGATTCATTGTTATCATCAGACATCTAAAAAAAACCAAAAAAATTAAAAAAAAATATATTTTAAAAAAAAACTTAAAAAAAAAAATAATAATTACGTTTAATAAATAATTATTAACAAAATTAAAATAAAATTTTTATTTTTTTTTTTTCTTGTAAGAAAATAATAAATGAATTTATTTTATTATATATAATATTTTTAATTTTACAAAGTTTAATTTTTTTATTGAATTAAATTAATTAAGTAATTAAAATCAAAATACATATTTAGTTTTACGCCTACATTTAATATACTCATTAATTTTATATAAGAACAATTATAATATTACAAATATTTTTTAAAAAAAATAAAATAATTTAAAAATAGTACCTGTTATGATCATTGGTATTTTAGTTGCAGCTAATATCATCATGTTAGGTATTAAAATATATCAAGATATAAAAAAGTTTAAACAGGTAAATTTTATTTATACATATTTAATTTTAAATATAACTAAAAATTTTTTTTAATAGAATAAATAAAGAAGTTTGTGAGAAAAAAAAATAATGTAATTAATTTTAATTAATTTATCTAAAAATTTCATTGCATTCTTTTTTTAGATTTATTAAAAATCAAAATTTGATTTATAAATAATCACAATTATTAATTTTTAATGTTAAAAAAAAATGAAAGTAATTTATCAAAAAATTAAAGTTTTTGATACACATGTAGAAAAAGAATTCCATTTCAACAATAACAACAAACAAATTATTTCTATTTGGCTTATATTAACAGAAGAAAAAAATAAAGAATTTGGACATTCAAAATTACTAGAAGAAGACATGAAAACTGATAAAATCTTAAATAATAAAGAAAGCAAAGAATTCATTGAAAAAGCAATTGATAATTTTTACAGAAGAATAATAAATAATTATATTAATATAGATAAATTATTTATTAATATAGGTTATAGACCTGAGAAGAATTTAAAAAGTTTTGTAAATAGAAAAGAAAAAAAATTTTTATGTAGAATAGATGAATGTTAAACATTTTTTTTTGTTTTTTTTTAGTTATTAAAGCCACTTCCTTGGCTGATTAGATTTTATTAGTTTGTTATTACGGAACTATCACATGAACAGTTTCCTAAGGTTTATAGTT